TATTATATATTTTACATTTAATATATAATATGAGTGACTTATATGTCACTAATTCTGAGTTCATTTTCAGATGCAAAAAGAATTCTTTTTCTAAAAGGGATTCATAATTTTGCACCTGAAAATAAATTCAGAATTGATGACGTAAAACTGAATGTACTAATGATTTCTTTTGGACTCTGTGTGCTATCTAGGCTGAATAATGTTTATAACATCTCTTTAGTATAAAAATTTTTTTTGAAAACTATTAAAATCAATATTAAATTACTATATATTACTACATAACTATGATTAATAAAAAGAATATAAAAACGTCTGTTTACAATTGAATAAATTTATTAATAATTCTTATAATTATTTATTTGTTTATAATAATTATTAATTAATAATAATTGATAATATAATAACAAATTTATTAATTAATTTAATAATAATTTATAATTATATATAAATTATACAATAAAACCACTATCTTTTATTAAGACATTGCATTACATATTTGATAGTTATTCACAGTTTTTCCAAAATGTATATTTCCACCTTGTATAAATTCTTATGACAGATATTCTAACTCTCACTCTAGCTCACTAGATGCAGTGATTCACATCCATGTAATATTTGGGCATTCCGAAATCCATCAAGAATAAATGTGTCGCAATCTAAATGACCACGACTGTACATCATTTGTTGATGTTTGTCAAATGTGTGGGAAAATTATATTAAAAACCAAGTAACACACACAGTTCTTTGAAAAAAATAATAAAAATCTTTGTTTTCCTTAGAAGTTCAAAAGAAATAATTGTAATATTTATGTTACAATTGCAATATCAGAGGTTATTTTAATTTTTATATTACTATTGCATTATCATTATGCATTACATGCTTATAATTATAATCGATTCATTATCCACAATTGCAAAGTTAATTAATTTATAGCAGCAGTTTATAATAATATTTTTCGATGCTGCGTTTGCAAACCAAGTGGTCTCTCTATCGATTATCTTTGTGTAACATTCGATGAATAATACAGATAATCGATACATGGGGACACTCGGGTGCAGATGTTTCCGAACGAAGCTTGTTGGTCAATTTAACATGAAAAAAGTGGACCATTTTATCCGAATTGTAAGGAAAAGATAGCCATGATATTTATAAATAAATAATGAAAATAAAAATACAAATAATAAAGGTTACATTACAATTTATGGATATTTTATTGTGTGTGTACGTTGATTACGGTAGCTTAACTGTAATTTATTCGATGTTGTAGCAGCTTTTAATAAACGCATGTAAAACTTTACTGAAAATGCATGTAAAAGAGCGCGCGCGCGCGCGCGCGCACGTGTGTGTGTGTGTGTGTGTGAGTGTGTAACGACATGCGCGAAGCCTTATCTTCCTCACGTCCTAACCTCGAGCCTCGCTAGTGCTAAAAAACACCAATGTTCAAATGAGCATAATTCTGTGAAAAATAATCGTAGAGATCTCAACTCGCGTATATAAAATGCAAAAGAAGTCTCATAGAGACTTCGCGTTCTTCTTGTTTCGAAAAGCCCTTTCAAACGAGTCCTCACTCGATCCCAGATGCCTTTTAAGATTTTCAATTTTCTTGCTTCCCCTCGAGAGACTGAAGTAGGTAATTTTAAGGTTAAATGATAAATTACATTTTGCCATTGTAACCCTGTAAATTTCAATCCAATATCTTGAACCGTTCAGAAATTATTTAGATGGTTTCGAACTTTTAGCGGTCTCTATGTATAGGATGTCCGGAACTCAATGATAAAGCGTTTGTGGGAAGGTAGAGTGGGATAAACTGAATCGAAAAGTTCTCTTCCATTTTACGATTTTCAAAATATTAATTTATAAAGATCGCCGAATGTGAACGCGAGATACGACCGCCCATCGCGGGTTGCGGTCGCCTAGCGCGTGGCTCGTGGTAGGAGTAATTGATTGTCGCGCGCTAGGCAATCTTTGCAATAGTTATCGAGATATTAATTTATAAATATCGCCCAATGTGGCGAGATACGGCCGCCCACCGCAGACCGCGGTCGCCTAGCGTGCAGTGCGGAGTAGGGATAATTGATTACCTAGCTCGCGACAGCGGTGGGCGGCGTATCTAGCCGCGTGTTTACATTCGGCAATATTTATAAATTAATATCTCGATAACTATTCCGAAGATCACAAAATACTAGAGAAATTTTCTGTTCAGCCCATTCTGTCCACGAACGCTTTACCATTGAGTACCGGACACCCTGTATATAAATTAAACCATCATTTTATTAAATAAATGAGTCTACAATATACTAAAAATAAGATATAAAAAATTGAAATCGTTTTTGTGCGAGATAATTGGAGTAAGTGTCGTGGTTGAGAACAAAGGAAACGAAAATAAACGAGTTTTCGTAGAAAATGAACGTGTTTAATTTGTGAAGCAAAGGAGTATGTAATACAAAAGAAACAGTACAAAAGAATGTGTAGTACAAAAGAAAAACAGCTCAGATAAACAAAAAGAGTCGCGAAGCGGAATTTGCAGAATTAAACGAGACGAATTTTTACCGAATATAACGGTGTTAGCACTTTCGTTAATTCTGATCAACTGCAGCCAAAGGTCTCGTATGTCCTGTTTTATTTTCTCGACTTTCTAGAAGTTTCCAACGGCTTTATGGCATCTTTCACGTTGAGACAAAGGAAATTTAAATGTGTTGCCTAGGCGCGACACAACAATTTTCGCAAACAATTTGATAGGGCGAATAGTTCGTTTTGCACCTTGTCATTCGCGAAATCGTTCGCTGTGTGGTACGCTGTCTTCGAGGGTACGAGGCAAATGCCATTGACCAACGGCGCTCGTTACTGAGCGCGCATTTTGAACAGTTTTGTAATTGTATTATTTTATATTAATATAAGAATAAGATGATTAACATAATTATTTAAATTACCTCAAATATGACACCAGCTAAGACGAACGTACTGATTATTGCTTGCCAAAAAGATGAAGACGAATAACAAGCATTGATAGTTTTAACATACCTGAAACAATAATTTAATTATTCTAATTGATCAGACAACTTATCATAAAAAATAAACATTTTGCAAATATATTATCAATGTTTAATTTATATACATATATATGGGCTATTCCACGTGAAGCGGATCAGTCATCTCTCAGAAATTTTTTTAATTTTGCACAAAGGTAGTATTTTGGGAGATAGAATTTTGTGCCAAAGGATTTTTTTCTTATTGCAAAATTAATCGAGATATAAACAATTAAA